AATTAATAAAATATGTTTCCGACCAAAGTTGGTCGTTAAGTAATTAAACTTGTCAGATTGTCGTTTTAAGCTACCGATCAAAGTTGGTCGGTATCGGTAAGCCATTCCGACCATCAAAACACCGTCCACACCGTAATGGTCGCGTTTTGGTCGGTAATTGGCCATAACCGACCAACTTTGGTCGTTTTTTTGGGTCGGTTTTTAGCGAATTTCTAGTAGTGTAGATAGATAGATAGATATAGATATAGATATAGATATAGATAGATAGATTTATGCATAAACTATATTATTATACGTATATTTTAAATTAATATAGATATAGATTTAGGGGCGACTATATTAAGTTAAAATTCAATTGATTTCCCTTATTTTGGAAGGGGGTAATAAATTAATAATTGGTGGACAGAAATGGGTATTTTTGGAAAAGGCAGGTCGTTCTGATTGCTGAAGTAGTCCACGTGAATGAATGGATATATATGGTGATGAGCCTAACTGCCAAACAAGAGAGGAAGAGCTAGTCTGCACAGTGCACGCACCCACTTTCCCGGGTAAAAACTAAGACATCACAACAATTCCTTTAATATAATTCCTCTTCTCTTTGGCTGCAACTATAAAACTTACCATGGCATTAAACTTGTACTTTGAAGCTTAGAGGCTAGCTGTTAGTTATGAGGGTCATTCAAACTGCTGGGTTTAATTACTCATTTCTCCTCCAACAATGCTCCTTTTCCAGGTGAATTTACTCTTCTTCTACCCCAATTGTTATATCTTTTTGAGAATTATGATATTATTACTCTTGTTTCATGTCTTGACCTTGGAAAGTTTATTCATATGGTTTTAATTCAGTCATAGTAGAATCAAGATAACTTGTTTCCATTTAACTAGAAATTTCATGGTTTCAGAAATATATATGTCTAATGTTTGATTTAATTTCATCACTTGTTGTGAGCCTAATTATGCTTTATAAATGTTTTACAATAGAAAAGTAAAGGAAGGAAAAACAGCAAGGGAATGGTTGTGGATCTAAACAAATACAAAATACTAAGTATTAAAAAGATATCTTTACACAAATAGCCCGCTGATTCACTCTTTACTTTTCCTATACATTGATTATACATGGTTATATATGAATTATACATATATTATACATCCACCAGCTATTGTTAGTTTAAGCGGCTATTTAGGTTAATTCTTCTATTAAAATAGTATGTAACTATCACTGGTGTCTTTCTACTTCCCTTCAACTCTGTTTCCTTCCAACCACACTCCTAATGTTCAAATTCATGTTACGGAATAGTAAGCGTTTGATTTTTTTTTTTCTGTTCTCTTCATGCTATGGCAAATATAAAGCTGGTATTTGTTTCAGGAAGAGAATTGGAGTCGTTGAAGTGATCAAGTCTAATTTGTCAGACTCAGATTCCAAGAGAGCAAACCTTTCTGCCAGGAAGAAAGAAAGAATTAAGCTTCCCAAACATGACGGTATTGGTGGAGATAATAAATCATTTCATATAAGTGAATTTCTGAGCCATAAATCTGGTGTTGAAGCAATGTTGAACAAAAGAGCTTTGCAAAGCTTTGAATCTATTGATTCTAACATGTACAGGTAAGGATTTGTTTCGTCTTGTCAAGTGTCATGGTCCAAGGACATTCTATCTTGCTCTTCTATCTTTTCTTCTTGCTGTGTGAAACTATTGCATTTTAACCACCTTGAACATTCTTTTAATATTGTGGCTAGATGTCAAGTAGTTTTCGAGTTATCTGTTTATGTATTGACAAAAAGATTGAATACCATTCGGTCATACATGTCATCGTTACATAGAAAAGAAGTTTTGCAGAACAAACGCCACTGTGCAAAGAGACGAATTTGATCGAACTATTACGCCTCTAAGCAGGTATTAGAGTACTGAAAAAGTTAACCATTTCATACAGTTTTATGAATACTCGTATACTTCTATTGGTCTATGAACCGCAAAAGAGATGGCATTAGGCTCTATGCTGCATTCTAGATGACTTAAGGATCCACTTTTTGCACGGACAGGTCCTGAAATATGAGTTGTATGATTACTGTCAGTTTAACCAATTAGTACTTGTAGTTTTTGGTTAACTTCTGAGATTCCACAGTAGCTAGGAAAGGCTTAAAGATTTCTAAGCGTTGTTAATAGGTGTTGCCTAAGAGCCACCTGGTATTTGTTGACTTAACCTGATTCTTGCTTTCATATACTATTGTCCTTATCATTTGTTCAAATGCGTGAGACTTGGTTTATTTTGCTTTTCTGTTTCGGAAATCTTCATATATGCTAGCTATAGATTCTTTTGGTCTATGCTAGTTTTGCAAACAAATAATCGTTTGGTATATCTGCCCTCTCCCTGTTAACATGCGGTCCATCAAAAGAAGAAAGTAATTTAGCCCCCTGTGCTTGTGATATCACAATAAGCTTATAACCTAATCATTTTTGGTAATTAAAAGATAATTAGCTAACTGGTCCTCACCGCAATGCCACCACCTTAAACCTAGACTTACCTTTACTGTTTGTAACTTAAGAAAGAACTGCCAGTTGGGCTGTTATCCCACTAGGAAAGATGATATAACTAAAAACTGCGGCTAAATGAATTGAAAGCCAATTCTTATGATCGTCCAATAACACTAACCAAGTTGCAACGGATGTTTTCAAGAGCCAACTGAATGTGAATTGAGCAACAGGCAGTGAAATGTGCAAAACCAGCAGCTTACGCAACCAAAACTCCAGTGACAACCAAGCAAGATCTTCTGATGAATTCTTCAGACGGCTAAAGTATAACTGCATCTAAACGAGCATTCTACCCTAGATGATGACCATTCAATTCCAATAATGACTAATCAACAATGGACATTCTAAGTGGCCTAACTTCTTCCTCAGATAGTGAGCAGAACATAGAGACCTGGTGTTGTTGTTGGATAGATGACTAGAGTTTATCAACATAAGATAGATGTTATGTGATGATTAGTATTCTTAATAGAGATACTTCTTAAAAATTTGGTAAACTCCAGCCTTTAAACCCACCTCCCCAAGGCCCGATCATGTTTTTTCTTATTTTTCCCTTGTGACTCAAACTCCCAAGCTCTTGGTTGGAAGCGAAGGGTTTTATCACTTGAGTAACCCTTTCTTGCCTTCCCGAATGGAGATATCAAACAACTTGGGGTAAATTTAATAATTCTCTTCTCTCCTTTTAGTCTGCGGATATTACTTCCCATTATTTAACATATTTAACTAAATGGAGGAGATGATATGCTTAATTAGGTTCTCTAACTATTTGGGGGAGTGGATTTCAATTCCACTAGGTAATTATCAGCCTATACCTGAAATAGAAGTGTGTAATTGAGAAGATATGAAATCCTCGAGAACTATCCTGCATGAGAAACTTTCATGTACCTCACATAAGGTTAACGTTTAGCATATTTCCTGTGTTTCTTGAGGTATCCATAAAAGATATGGCAAGGCAAAAGGAAGAGGGAAATTCAACATAGATAAGGGGATTTGGATAGAACAGTAGAACTATCAAATAATCGCATTATGAAAAATGGTTTATAGCCACTGAGAGTTTCAACTACTTTGGCGCCTTTTCAGTTTGTGACGGATAATCAGAAATGTTCATGTATTGATACCAGATACTCTTTGGCAGAGAAAATAGTTCATCTTGTGCTTACTGTATAGGGTAAAATTAGTTTATAATAAATGATCGAATAAAAGCGTGGCACATGGAACTGAAGACAGGCAAAAGGCGAACCAAGTAATAGACAGTATCGGGGACAACGGCTACAATTGATATCGGATAGACCCCGAAGGGAACATGGTCAACGGGAGCAGATCGAATATTTATCATCGGATAGCATTCAATGAAGAATATTCTCTGACATTAAATGGGCAACCGTTGCACAGAATATTTGCATTCATGGTCTGCCGTTACGTCTTCATTAATGGCTCATTTATTGTCATTTTTAAGTGGGACTTGATCCTAGGATCTTGTTTCCCTAGGTATAGCTATAAATAGCAGGCTCAGCAACTATTGTACGACACGAAATCTTTGACAAAACTTATGTTGTATTTCACTTTCACGCTCCATTAATCAATTTTATTGACTCTTTTACATTGCTATCATTTCTGTCTTCGGAAACACTGCTTTCGGAGCCAAACTTGTCATCTTCTTCAACTTTAATCGCTAAGTCTTACTTTTAATCTTATTTATTTACCATTTTTGGATCAAATTTGTTCGCTTGTCTATAGACCACGTAACAAATTCAACTGTACCGTTTTACGGGTAAACACTTGCCAGCCTATACACACTAAATAAGAGTTATAAGATTTTGCTGATTATGTTACTTGCAGGTGTACTCTGCCACAAGTTCAACTTCTGAATTTTGAAGTTGCCCCTGTTTTGATTTTACAAGTGAACCCAACCAGCGAAGACTGCACTGTGAAGATGTTGTCTTGCAAGGTAAGGCTCCTAAAGATTGCGAAGGTAATAAGCATAGATTGTCTGCTTCAAGTATAGTATCCCTGATTCTGGAAGCATCGCCAACCTAAGGAAGCAGTATCTGTGACTGCTGTTCAATGCGTCTTTCTTCTAGACCAAGAATCTTCCAAAGTTTCAATCTAGTTGAATTGTTTCATGAGCTAGCTAAACGCCTGGAGATGTTTAGTTGTCTGAAAATGAAATTATGCTGTGTGATCGCCAGTTAATATAGTTGCTATGAGGAGTAAAATATTCGCAGTTGCAGCTACTGCTTTTAATCTAGTTAGTACCATCGGAGAAGAATTTTATCTGGAGTGATATAGAGAGGAGGAGATAAAAGAGTGTAGTTAAGGTATAATTTCCCAATCTTTGTACAAGCAAGAAAACAGTTTTCTTCTGGACATTAGCTTCTCCCACGTTTAACTTAACAATTCTTCTTTGTAAATGAGTCTTGCATATTCATCGACCTTCCTTTCGAATACACGTAATTCACTGAAGGAAAAAAATAAACCTGATAGCTTAAGATTTATCGCTAATATGTACAACCATCATCTGCTGAGATTCTATGTTTCCTAAATTAGTTATCGTTCAAGAAGTTGATATATAAGTGCCTAATGTTCATTGCAGTTTGAGGGTTCAGATTTGGTAGAGCAGCAGAATGACCACTTTTCAGGTATATCAAAACAAGATCAGAGCATGACATTGTTAACTTGCTTTTGAAACATACTTAGAATTTATAATTACATGTTTACACATGCAATTTTGTTAACTTGCAGCATCAATGGTTAACTGTATAACGTGGGAAACAGTTGGATCTCAGCCTTTCCTAAATGTTGATGTGAAATTAAATATCTCTCTTGAGGTTATTCTCCCTCTCTTTCCTTAGAATGTTTTATGCTTATTCTCATGCCAAATTTCCTATGACATGTAGGAAAATTTCTCAGAAAGAAAAGGCTACCCTATTTAACATTATCACTTTAGCAGTACTGATTTTTCTTCTTAGAATTTCTCCAGGACAGTCTCAATATGAATTTTGCAAGTGTTATTCTTCATTCTGAAGGCTGCGTACAATAGACCCTTGTGGTCCGGCCCTTCCCCGGACCTCACGCATAGCGGGAGCTTAGTGCACCGGGCTGCCCTTTTTTTATTCTTCATTCCGAGTTTTGACAGCATCGCTTGCAAATAATATGATTACAGTCATGGAGTTGATATGGGGAACGGGCAGAGGCGAATTTAGGATTTAAGTTCTATGGGTTTAACCTTAATATTATGGGTTCAGACCTACTATTTTTTGCAATTTTAGTGAATTTTTATACATAAATTTATCCTCTGCGTTGAAAGTATTGGGTTCAGATGAACCCGGTGTTCGAGTGCTACATCCACCATTGGGAAGAGATGAGGGGTTAAAGGAGTACAAGGTTGAAGGTAGACAGCATGAATATGCTCGTGCATGTTTACATACATGCAGCAAGGGATAAAGAGAGCCACTTCCTTGTCCTAATATCTGACGTACGGTATAAAACCTTTTCCTACACTAGAATCATAGCTGCCTTTCAGTTCTCATTGCTTATTTACACCTTTGGAACAGTTGGAAAAAAGTACTTTTAGCATGTCATCCATAAAACAGTCAGAAAATTGAAGCCTTATTATCAAGAATGTTAGATTGATAGCACATTATACAGGGGTGGAGGGACAAGCCGAACTACGGGTTCGGCATGTAGTTCGGCTGAACTCAGTAGCTTTTTCTCAAACAATGTATTTAGTGTTTAAAATTCATCGAATATGTACAAATATTAAATTTAGAACCCAGTCACTAACACTTGGAGTCGTGTACTAAATTTCAGAACTCATAAGGTTGAAATCATGGCTCCGCCTCTGACATATGTTCTCATTTTTGACTTGTTAAGTCTAAACTGGAGTAGGCATGGACTTTTTAACCGTGCTCCTTGTAAACTTCCAATTTACAATTTTCATATCACAGATCCATCTGATTGTAGACTTGTAGTTAGTTATAGTAACACCAGCATGTGATATGCGGGATATAACCAGATTTGATGGGTCATGAATGATCTATCAATAATCTTCAGACTGTTGTTCCACTCCACAGAACTGAGGTCTAAATGTATTTGAATGAGTAGATTCTTTTAGTGAAACTTATTGTTAATCAGAGATATATTTCCTTTGAATCTCTACAACATTCCAGTACAATTATCATATTGACAAGAAAAATTTCTTGTATATTATGATCCTCTCAATGGAATTTGTCACCTTAGATTGTATTTGCAGATATATACCATGCCATTTACCATGCTGCCTACTTCTGCTGTTGAGAGTCCCGGTAACTTGTGAGTCTATTGCTAAATTTTCTTTACTCTCTGTGATCACAAATAGTTTTAGAAACATAAATTGCAATGTAAATTAGATATTAACCAAACTCTGTTCATTGACATGTGTGTTTTACTGTACCCGGATTTTTCTTAGAGTAAGGACCATATCAAAGTAAACAATCGGAGTGTCATACAAGGTCTTTGCTCTGATTTAGACATGAAACCTTTTGCACCAAGCTTGGTCCATCTCATTTGAACCTAAATACATCTGCATGTTTCCATTTGCCAAGTTCTATCGATAATTCCTTCACTCCAGAAGTTAAGGTGATCATGATTAGTTAGCAGTGACACTTTTTCTTGATCATTTCAGCATATAAATGAACATAGACGTCTTCATAGAGCTGTTACTTGCTGTAAGGGTGACAAATTCCCGCAATAAACTTTTCATGGTATCGACCTCGTGGAACAGCCATTTCCATTAGATAGATTCCTTGTAAAAGTGCTTTATACAGCATAACTTAAATTTGATATTAAATGTCTTGATGATTCTTTTTATGGGACTTGTCGCTACGGATTGAAAAATCTTTATCATTGTGAAAACATAGTTCTGCAGACAATCAAATAGTTTCAAAATGAAATGATATTTCTATCGTAAAAAATAGAAATGACCCTCACTATTTTTATACTCATTAGTCATCTTTAAGAATTCTGAAATACCTATTTCTGTAACTTTTGTATTTCATCTCAAACGAACTATGTTTCACACAGAATGATGCAGGCTTTAGTGGACAGGCTAGTGCCGTTGCTTTTGCAACAACTGCTTCAAGATTATGACAACTGGGTTCAGCAACATCAGAAATCTCTGTCGTGAATCCAACTCCTTTGTACCTGAGTAAGTTAACTACATTTATGGCTTGGTGAGGAAAATATAATGAAAATCCATCTAGCTACAATACTCTATGTGAGCCCATTTGCTCCATCCTTGGTGGGTAAGTTTAGCCATCCGGAAAACTGTACTTGTGGGTTGTTGGCTTGTCGCAAGCTTTCAACTGGGTGGTGGACTAGTCTAGGTGCGCACAAGCTGGTTCGGACATCATCATATCTAAAAAGTGTATGAAATTCCATCCTTCCATGGTTCAAGTGTAAGCTGCCTATTTGATGCTCATTTCTTTGTGCAAAATATCAATCTCAAAAATACCATCATCTTTAGTGATATCAATTCATTCAAGTCTCTCAGGTCGCCGGTGTCTGAAGTCATCGTAAGCTTGCTACATGCTAACATGTTTTCTACTCAAGTTCTTATCAGTCAAAAGCAAACCATGTTCTCCTCTGTTTAATCCTTCGCAAAAGGACCATTAACCGTAAGGAGATTAGTGTTGGTAAGGGGATTAAGGAACAACAGCAACACATGTTCAACACTAAGAATGCTGTTCATGGTAAATGAGAGTAGTAAAGGTTGCAACACGTGATTTTTCTGGGGCTGCGGCTGACCGCTTATCTTGGCAACACAGCCCATATAGTTTTTGTCATACTAAATTATCTTTCATTTTTTCCCCTATCATTGTTCTGAGGCGGAGTCAGATGCAATGGTACCGGTTCATTTGAACTTAAGTTTTTTTTTTTTTTTAAACCGAGTAATTTCGAGCAAAGCATAACTATATGGTTGAAATTTTACTAAAGTTGAAACAAATAGTGAATACGAAATCAAAATTTAAAAATATAATGAATCCAAAAATAATAACCTTAAATGATATTGAACCTATAGAACTGAAATCTTACATCCGCATTTTCTTATTGTCCTGGCGAACAAGAAGTATTCCATTTTATAAATAGGTCTCATGTTTGATGCATTTCTGCTCTCTCAGTATTATTCTTATATGGTCAGTATTAATAAGTAAATAAAAAAGTAGACTTTTTTTTAAAAATACAATTTACGCCATTAGGTCCTTGTATTGCTAACCAAAATTATAGCATAACAGAGGAGGGCATCAACCTAGTCTCTGTTCAAAAAAACTAAAATAAAATAAAATAAAGAAAAGACAACCAGGGTCGTATACAAGTACAAAGATCCACAATCTAAGTTATAAACACTCCTATGATCCTATACAAGATTAGTACCCTTGTACATCCAATTTATCCAAGACAAACCAGTAACAAAAACAAAAACTTATGACAACATGTTCCTCCTTTGCTTATGTCTTATTGAAGCCATTTGAGCCTTGTCCATCAAATAGGGTCTAGCGGCACACCTGGGAAGATCTTTAGGATTGAGGAAAATGGATTCATTCTCCTCAATGCCCTATTTAGCAAGAGCATCTGCTACTTGATTAGCTTCACGGAAACAATGTTGGATCTCAAAATTCACATGTTGAAGTAGTTGTTTAGTATCCAAAATTATATTATGCATTTGTCATGCTAAGCTTGCGTTCCCTTTAATCATATTGATTACTACCATAGAGTCACATTCAAGGATGATGTTTTGGAAACCCCGTGAAATACACCACTTCACCCCATCCATGCTGCCTTTGCCTCCGCCAAATTGCTACTGCCCCTTCCCATGTTATATGCAAAAGCCAATATCAAATTGCCTTCAGAGTCTCTACTACTGCTGCACCATGACCTTAAAGACTATTCATCCTTCATATAGTCTGTTTTCAAAATAATTCCTCTATCTCACATTAATTGTTCTAAGTTGATTTCGGCAGTCAAAACTATTAAGCTTGAGTTTAAATTAGAGGAATTTTCTTAATACGCTATATTTTAGAGCCTAGTAACTATAGTTTGCCTAGTTATCTTTTGTAGCTACTGTTCAATTGTTATCAGCCTGTATCACTTGTATTCAAACGAGCACCGAATACAATCTGTGTCAACTATATTCGTTCGCACACATTGTATTCATTCGCGCAACGAATATATCATATATCAACTGTAACCAAGGCGAAATACAAGGGTGTATACAAAGGATACAACCCGGATCGATCGTATTCGTTCGTGCAACAAATACAACCAAGGCCTCCGCTAATTAAGCATAAGCTCTAACCAATTGAGCTCTTGTTTCAGTTCATTAATCTCTTGTTTCATCTCCGCTAATTAAGCATAAGCTCTAACCAATTGAGCTCTTGTTTCAGTTCATTAATCTCTTGTTTCATCTCCGCTAATTAAGCATAAGCTCTAACCAATTGAGCTCTTGTTTCAGTTCATTAAGCTCTTGTTTCATCTCCGCTAATTAAGCATAAGCTCTAACCAATTGAGCTCTTGTTTCAGTTCATTAATCTCTTGTTTCATGTATACAGTATATATGTTTGATGTGTCAGCGTAATTTTTCCATTTACACGCTGAATGCCTTTTTTCCTTTTGAACTAAAACTTAACGATCTGATAGGCATTTATCCTACTTTAATGAGTGTCTACTATAATGTCATATAGCTTTGGACAAGTCTCAGTTCAAAAATATCATAAAGACCCAGATGACAATTAAAACAAACAATTGAGCACTGACGAACCCCTCAACTGCAAACCCAATTTTTTGGACAAGAGAAAAGCACGAATAGCCAAGCCTCCTAAAAGCTCAACTGATAATTAAAAAAGAACATATATAGAAATGGTAAGATCTTTGAGGCTGCCAAACAAAGGTAATGACTGCCTATAACTTGAATGCAGCAAGAATGTAACGCAGGAAATGCAAGAAACAAATTCATTCAGCTATGGCACATATGTGCCCAATAGCTGAGAATTGAGGTAAACCGATGGCAAAGTCATCGCCCTCATTAATAGAAGAGCTCATGCACATCAATAAAATCTTCACAATTACTTGTCCAAAAAATAAAAATAGAAGAACTGATGCGTATACTAAAGCTAGTGCTAGACCTGCACGTATGCATATCTTCCATTCCTCGACGCCTTTAGCAGAATATATTTTCCAATTCCGCTCCAAAAAAAGCCCGAGCTTTAAGGTTTTTCAAATCAGTATTCGAAGCAACACGCTTGGGAAGGTAACAAATTCACCGTAAGGAAATAAATGCATACTGTAAATCATAAAAGAGTTAAAAGAATGGCAATAGAAGAGGAATTGTTACTTATGGTTAGCCCCAAGGTTTCACATATTGATTTTGATGATAACAAACCAACTAAGTTTTAATCAAAGAACATTTACTTGTGGTAAATTTATTTTTGCACGGGTTTATTCAGTAGAAAAAGATTTGGTCGGACTTTGGTTATAGAAGAAATAATGAAATCATGGAGTTGCATGAAAATCTATGGACAAGAATAGAAGTCTTGCAATTAAAGAAATAAGCAAGGATGGAAAGAGGACAAGTCTGTTGAAAATCAAGGAAGAAGAAATCACAAAGGAATCTGGAACGAGACTACAAGGAAGTGCTTTTATTAAGGATTTCTAGCTTGCTAAAATCTTGGCCAGAATATTTTGCAAGAAGACTTGAAGTAATATTGATCACACCAAAGAAGGAAGTTTACATGCTGGATGAAGAAAATTCAATACAAAAAAGATTTTTATATACAACAATCATGAATAATATTGAAGATATCCAAGGTTGATTCTTTACTACAGGAAGGACCATGATTTTGTAGAGTATCAAGCACATAAACCTCAAGTCCAAAAAGGGATCCACAAATCAAGCCAGTAAAAGATCCAAGTTCAAGAAAGATACATGTTACCAGATTCTAAATAATACAAATGAAGATCCAGTAGAAGGAAGAGGTCTTGAACTTCTATTGGTCATCTAAATAAAAGCTAAAGTTTGTACAACCAGAAACCTGTCATAAGAAGAAGATTTTGGAGTTATTTTCGAGGAACTCTATCGAGCAAATGATGTCTAGGTTCAATGATAGATCAGGAAATGTGAGAGTTTGGACAAACAATGAAGATGCATCCAACAAGAATAAATCTTGATTGGTACTTCGCCAAAGAAGGAAAGATTCAAATCTAAAGGGAGATTGGTACTACAATGAAAAAGGAATGAATATAAATGAAATAAAAAAATCCAACCTGTTGGAAGTACCAAGAATATAAAGGCAATTGTAATATGCCTTATAGAAGTCACGTGCATATATCTACATATGAAGACTTGATGACTTACCTGGAAAGAATCTTTTATAAAAAGGCATTAAATAATATGGCCTTGATTTTTGGAATTGTAAAGAAAAATATCTCAAATCTATGTGAGATCAAATCTGTACAAAATGGCTTGCAGTATATGTAAAGATCTCTTTGATAAAAGGAAAGTAGGTTGATAATCTTGTATTTAAAGAAATTATATTATTTGAAGGGAAAAAAAATCTAGAACCAAGTTTCTTATTGTTGTAGTGGTTGTATATCTTGATAGAATCTTAGTATTTGTACTTATCATGTCAGACTAATCAAATTTCCAAAAAGAAAGAGAAGAAAGATAATTTTACTGAACCCTTGTTTCTCAAAAAATTTCTAGGATCACATATTGGTCCTTGGATTTGAATATGGCTGGTGATCAATTTGCTAGGTATTATATCTGGTTGAATCAGTGCAAAGTTATAAATCTTTCTGATAGTTCCTTGAGATGCTCAGATAAAAAAAAAAAGTGTTTTTGAATGAGAAAACTTTCTGCCTGAAACAAGTTGAGAGCTCACTACAAAAAAATTGCTAAATTGTGGCGATTAATTTATGGGAGTTATAAAAACTCCCACTATACATTTGTTTTGTGGCGTTTGCGTCAACCCCTACAAAATAAATTTTTTTGTGATAGTTTATTTGTGGGGGTGTAAAAGACCTCCACTATATTTTCAATTTATGGCGTTTGTTCTAACTTTCACAAAATTATTCGTATTGTGACAGTTTTATTGTGGAAGTTTCTGATACCTCCAGAAATGCAAATTTAATTGTCTGCAAAATCTTTGCCATTCGGTACAAATTGGAGGCCACTAACTCATGCAATATTTAGTCATTTTTTCTACCATCTTTTGAAAATATAATCAAATTGCACATTTTAGTTAAATTTCTACAAGTTGATGCAATTTATGCCAATTTTTAACCCTTGCCATTTTTTGTCTTTTCCCCAACATTCTACCCCTACAAAAAGTAGATACAAAAACGGAGGTTTTCCATTATCTCCATATATTAGTTATTAGTTTTTCTTTATTGTCTTCTGACATTTTTTTATTTTGTATATTCATCTTTAGCTAATGAAGGATTGAAATACCCCGATAAATAATTTAGCCACAAGTAAAAAAATCAATA